ATACTAACAAGAGTTAGATGTCAAGTAGTTCCCTTATCAAAAAATATTATTTCACATACAATATTTTTATATCGTGTTACATTTGTCCTGTATGTTTAGTGTTCAAATGTAAGAGAATGGTTGATGAGACTGGATGCAAAGCTTGTAGAAGTAGGTGTATGAGATTCATTAATTTGCATAGAAAGAGCAAAAGTAGCCCTAATGATTGAGAGGCAGGAAGGCATTAGCTTAAGTGGAGTAAGCCAAATATGTTGAATAGAAATGAGGAAAGGGAAAATAATGCTAAGATGTTTATTGATCCTTACTTATGGTGCTGCAGTGATGTAACATTTGTTTTGTGAGACTACATATTTTAATGCAAGATAGAATTAGTATGTTGGATTGTATAATATAATTTGAAATGATGGAAACTGATACACTGTATAGATGACAGATGATCACATACTATGCTAATGCATAATTTTGATGGGAAATGAAGTTTATGAACTTTCATAACTTAAATAACAAACATTTTGAGGAAAAGTGCTGTACAAATAATCTCATAATACTTTCTCATAATACAAAACAGTTTAAAGAATATGGAAGAAGGCATATAAAATATGCTAACAGGAAATGGAGAGTGGATGAAGGAGGCATAGAAGATAGCTATTTAGAGTACTGTTTTTGTCTAAAGCATTTTGTAAATTTTAAATCATGCACTTTACAACAAGAACTTAAAGATAATTTCTGTTTTACCTAAGCATTGTTTGAAGATAAATCAAGTAAACTTCAGTGAGAAAAACACTTGCTTCCAGAAAGCTGAAATTACTTTTTTGAGAATATAAATAGTCAATTTTAGGTTTAAGAGCTGCTCAGGGACCATAAAATATAAATGCATGGGTAACAATGTTTTCAGTTCATAATGTAAATTATCTGCTTGACAGCAACAGTGGCATTGCATCTGATCATACTATTGTAATTCAAACTTTTTTCATGTTGTGCAATTGAATCCTGCCTTCCATAGACGAAATTGTTTCATTTCAAATATTTTCCGTGTATGCAAGAAAACAATCCAATATCATTTTTGGAAACGTGGGTCACTAAAGAGAAACACTTCATTTATGCAAATTGATTTTTTATCCCTCAAAACCCTAACTTTAAGTAGCCAAAAATTGAACTGCTTCAGACTTTCATTAGCTCATATCTTTTTTATGGAAATTTCAAGTTGAGATATCTTTACTAATGTGTATATATATTCATTAATAACTCATATGCTGGTAATATTTTTGTAAATTAACTGATAATCTACCATACAATATTTAGAATGCCAATCCTGTAACTGATTTCTAGCTCTCAAATACATAATTTAAGACACTTTTACACAGCTTTGGTCCCTGAAATATTTTGGCAGATAATTTGTATATACTTATCTATCCATACTATTCATATTTCAAAATAAAATTCTGTGGACTTGCCATATTTCTAGCAACTGTCTTAAGAATAACCTTGTGGCTTTATAACATGCTAAATTTATATTTTCCTTTTTTTCTTTTTCCTTTTATATTTTGAACATTAGAAATGTGGCAAACTCAGTGATTATCAACGGCATCTGTTTTTACATAGGTGTAGTGGATCTGAAAATAATATAGTTAATGCTACTTTCGTATCCGTATGAAACATATCTTCATTTACCTGTGCAACATTGATCACAACCCTTCATTGACAGAAAATAATTTGTCTTATCTCTGCACAGAAGAACATTACTATTTATAAATATAATATAACTCTTTTTTGTGAATCTTTCCCAATTGTGACATAAAATTAAAAGATTCACATATATTTAAGTTATAAATCTAGTTTTACATCTTCAAAAAAATTGTCTTGAAATTTTTTGACACCAATATTTTTTTAATCATTATAAACATAGTTTCTTTCACAAATGGTTTTTTTTGTCTTCAATTCTTACTGTTTGTCAGTGGCATGACTGTAACACAAACCGTTCCAGTGTTTTCAGATCGACCTGTTATTCCCTATAGTTCATGAATGTTTTAATCACAAATAACTGTTTCATGAATATACCAAAAGACATACTTGTGTGTGTTAATAGAACACAGTTATTAGTGCAGGGTGTAATGTGTTTTCTGAATGTGTGGTTGTGTGCTCCGTGGAACTACTTGACTGTCTTTACATCTACATTGTTTGGATTTAAAGACGGAAACTATGGCCAGGAACATTTTGTTCACCATAAATCATATTTTTTGTTTTGCAGCACAATACACAAATGAAACGGTAGTGAAAAATATTGCTTCCTGTTATCTGTTTTTCATTTCGAGATTCCAACTGAAGACTGTAAGCTAAATGAAACCTAGCATTAAATCATAACCTTGGAGGGATAAGCTATCTTAATAAACAGTGAAGCCACTTTACCTGATCTTCTTATTAAGCATCTTTCAATAAATATTATAATTACACACACACACACACACACACACACACACACACACACACACACACACACACACACACACACACACACACACACACACACACACACACACACACACACACACATATATTTCATGCGGGCGGAGCATCGACGCACGAAAACCCATCTGGTCGAAGTGTTGTTCCGCTTGAACAAAACCCACGGTCTCGCAGGCAGAGCGTCCCGTGGTGCGTCGGTTGCTTTACATGTAATAAAAATGTGATTATAACGGCAATTGAAATTTGAATGGCTTAAACCTGATACCACATCTTATACTAGAATTATGTACTATGATTTGATTGTCCTAAACACTACTATTTTACAATATTTGCGCGTTATTTGATTGACTTCCACATTACTACCATATTATATTATATAGTGGTGATGTTGACCACTGTAGTCACAATGATAAATTACAAAGGATAACAGTAACAGTGACTGATAATAGCAATGACTATGACAGGGATGGTCATAATTATGATGAAATAGTAGGCCTATTATTATCTTCAAGGACAGATAGTTCAAACTCTCGTGACCACGTGCAACAAAGCAATTCTGGTGCTGGTGTTGCAGATGTCAAGTGGTGAGGTCCTTCACATTATAGAGTGTTTCTTTAAGTTATTTGTTGATCGGTGATTGAACTAGGGAGATGTTCCCGTTGCTTTCTTCAGTAGCAGTGTCTACTAGACGGGTGATCCTGAACAATGACCATGACGGGGTTCTTCTGCTCAGCATAGAGTAGTTCAACCAGTGAGTGTACTCTCAACCACCTGCTAATCGTGGCTTCAAGTATCCTTTATTGGGTTATCTGTAGGCAATCGAGGTAAAGTTCCTTACCCAGGAGAAGAACACGCCGGCCGGTGACCCGTTCTCTCGAACTTTGATTGTCGTGACATTCTTTGAGTCCGATGCTCTAACCACTCGGCCAGCACGTCCTCTGTTCATATAATTCTATTCATTATTGTTGTCTATTCCTACCACAGTTCGTTTGAAGATATTGATAGGGATCTCTTGACCTCTGATGCAAATTCATTATAGGAAAAAGTCAAACTTATTATTATTATTATTATTATCATATATTATATATAACATCTATACGCAAAACAAAAGAAATGGTAATATGTTATCATTTGTGGAACTTCATTCGAAGGATCACTTGCTGCGTATCAAAATGTATACACATTTTCGAATGTATTGCTCTCCCTTAGTACTTCGACAGTGTTTATCCATCTAATAAAAGATAAACCTCAAAATGTAGTATGTGTACTATTAATGTAAATCGAAAAATAATAATCAACAGTTTCTTACGAGTTGAAAGATAAATGAAAGTCACGTATATAATTCAAACGATCTTTTATCACCCACTTATCAGTGCTTCCTTTAAAGTCAATTGTATTATGTTTTAATGACTCATTTGAGCCTAATAATCATCATAACTTTTTTAATAATCTTATTACATTTTCACATAAGTTTCTATTTAAATATCTATTAAATGCTTCTCAAATAGCCAAATGAAGAGTTAAAAGATAAGATACAAGAACTATTTGGCGATGGGTTGCTCATGCGTATTGACGAACTGGATGGACAGGTTGGCACGCCTGTGCGAGCGGAGCTGAATTTTAAAATCACTTGAAATTCGGTAGCAACACATTTCAAGTACCTGCAAAAAATGCAGATAAGGACGCTGCGGATAACGCCTATATATTGGACTTTATTTGCAGCACCAAATACGTGTCGTACTGCTTGGACAAAACCAGCCGTCTCACACAGAGCGTCCTGTGTCCCATCGGGTTGTTTACATGTACTGTACAGTCGCTAAACGAAGTATCTTTGCTCGGGAGTAGATGAAACCGAAACGAAAGCTGGGAGTTGATTCGGAAATGTTGGTACTTTCGAAGCTTGGAACAGATGAAGCTTCATAATGCGTTCGGATAGTATTTCGGAGGTGATACGGCAAGGGCCTCGTACCATGCCAATATCAACAATGGAAACCTCATAGACCATTCGTAGCGTCATAATTACGCTTTACTCTAAGGGACTATCAAGATCCAAAACATCAAGAAGATTAGGTATTTCGAAGCCAACTATGTCTGTGGATCCAGCGACACCAAGCAACTGGATCAGCCAGAGACAAGGCTAGAATTGGGCACCCTAGATGCACGACAGATGTTCAAGTAAATCATGATCTAAGACAACATCAAGAGCTAATGAAAACTATTTGATACTCAGTAGCAACACCCTTGCATCCAATTGAATTTGAGAATGTCGGGCCTGGCAGATATACGGAGTATACCTACGTGGAAATCCTGGACGAGATGTTTCTACCATCGGTGAGGGCCATGGCGTTTCCGAACCGAAACCATTTAACCTCCTCCAGGATGACAGTCCCATCCACACGAGCAGTTTCGTGAAGGCTGATTT